TGTTTAAATTCTAGAAATTAACATTCAACATTATTATTGATCTTTCCAGACTTATCTCTACCATTAACTTGGACATTATTTTGGTTGTTTCTTGTACCCTTCTGTGTGTCCAGCTTTTGTTTTCCTGGTATAGCAGTCCCTTCAGCACTTCTTGGAGAGCTGGTCTGGTGTTGGTAAATTCTTTTAGATTTTGTTTATCTGAGGATGTTTTTGTCTTTTCTTCCCATATGAGGGATAATCTTGCTGGGTGTAATATCCTTGGATGAAATTGTTTTTCACTTAACACATTGAATATATTTTCCCATTCTTTCCTTGCTTGCATTGTTTCTGATGAGAGTTCCAATATTAGCCTAATGGGATATCCTTTGAAAGTAACTTGATGTTTCTCTCTTGCCAATTTTAGTATCTTGTCTCTGTAGTTTTGGTCAGTCTGCCTAAGATGTGTTTTGGAGAAGATCTTCTTGGGTTGATTCTATATGGGGTCCTTTGTATTTCTTGGGTCTGGATATTTGAATGTTTCTCTAGGTTTGGAAAGTTTTATTCCAGATTTCATGGAAGAGATTATCAATGTCTTTATTAGTTTCCTCACCTTTTGGGATATTGATTTTCCTGATGTTTGAGCATTTAATGGTATCTAGTATTACTCATATATTATTCTCATTTTTTTCCCAGCCTTTTTGGCAAATTTTTTTAGGTCAGAGGTACTGTCTTCTGCATCTGAAATTCAATCTTCTGTATGTTCTAATCTGCTATTTTTTTTTTTTTGAGAGGTTTTTGCTATGTAACAACTTCAAAGAATACAACATAGAATATATGAGTTAGCTGAATATTTCAAACACAGGTAAAATCAGTGACTATTGTTTCTTTTTTTTTTTTATTTTAGAGAGAGATTTTTCCTATAGAGTGTAAGCATTTGCCCAAGAGATATACAGAAAGCAAGAAATCATCTCCCCCAGGGGGGATAGCCATGCCATAATCCATTCTCCTCCATTCTCTCGGGATCTTGGGCATGCATGCACGTGATCCTGGTGTGAGTTTAAGCCATTGGATCTGGGACTCGGACCGCGGTCAACTACATGGGAGTCCAGCGACATAGTCATTATGCCAACTGCTGGTTCCCTAATCTGCTTTTAATACTTTCAAGGGGGGTTTTGATTTCCTGTATTACAGCCTTCATCTCTAACAATTCCTTTTGATTCTTTTTTATGATGTGTATTTCCTCTTTCAGATCATGCAAGAACTTCCTCAATTCCTGGAACTTGTCTCTTTTCTCCTGCATCTTCTGGAGTTCATTGTCTCTCTTCTCTTGCATCTCTGTTAGCTTTGTCACTATGAATATTTTAAATTCTTTATCTGACATTTCCATGAGTTCCTATGTATTGTCGGTGGGGGATTAAGAGTTACTCTTTTCCCTTAGGGGAGAGATATTTTCTTGGTTTCTCATATTTTTTTGTGCCCCTGAGGTGGTTTCTGTTCCTCTTATGGATTATACTTTTTTCCCTTGTTATTTTGGCATTAAATATGAACATTCAGAAGTGCTCAGGAGAAAATAATCTGCAGTCTCTCTGCAGTATCGTTTCTCTATCTTTGTACAGTAGATTCTATGGTAATTGATATTACTCTGACCCTAAAGTATTCAAATATTTAGCTACCGTGCACCTAGACCTGTCTTGAAACTCAGTGTATGGAGGCTGAGCAGAAAAGTGAGAAAGATAAAAGAAAACGGAAAAAGAAAAAAAAAAAAAGAGAAAAAACAAGACAAAGACAGTAAAAGAAAAAGAAAAGAGAGAGAGAGAAAAATGCCAAACATGAAAAATTGCACGGCATGGAATTTAAACTCAAATATAGATGGTTTATGATTAGTTTGTCCTATGTGGGAGGGGGAAAAGGTGACGATTAGCAAGATAAAAGAGTCAGAGAACTAAGAAGTTTAAGAATTATAATAAAAAAAGAAACTAATTAAAGAGTGAGAGATGGAGAGAGGAGAGACAGAAAATACAAAGGGTGCTTTACCTTGCTGGTTGTTTGGGTCAGTAGGGTGAAGTCCAGGCAGAAAATCTTCAGTTGTCCTAGTTCCTGAAAGGAGCTGCTCAGAGCTCAAACGTAGATGGCTCAATTGGCCTGTCTTGGCTGGATATTAGGGTTAGGAAAAAACTATAGACCAGTATCTTTGATGGATATAGACACAAAATTTCTCATTAAGATAGTAGCAAATTGGGACCAGCAGTTGGCATAATGGCTATGTTGCTGGACTCCCATGTAGTCGACTGCAGTTCAAGTTCCTGACCCAGTGGCTTAAATTCACACCAGTTGCATGTGCGAGTGTGTCCAAGATCCTGAGAGGAGAATGGAGGAGAAGGGATTGTGGCATGGCTATCTCCCCTGGGGGGTGATTTCTCGCTTTCTGTCTCTCTCTGTCGAGTGCACATGCCCTATAGCAAAAACCTCTCAAAAAAACCCAAAACTAGCAAACAAACAAAAACCCCATGAGATAATACAAAATCCCAGTCAGACTGGTGAAGATTAAAAAATAAAAAATGATTAGTGCTGGTGGGGTGGGGTGAAAGGAGAACTCTCCTAACCTCTGCTGGTCCCAAGACCTCCCCCCAAAAATATATATAAATAATTTCTTATTAAACTGAAAATAAACACTAATGGTTGTAGTAAACAGTATGATGAAAGATAGAGGTGTTTGTCTAGTGTATTTAGCAAAAAAACCTCTCAAAAAAAAAAAAAGATAATAGCAAATTGTATCCAACAACATATAAAAAAGATTATACATCATGACTAGATAGGCTTTATTCCAGGATGCAAGGTTGGTTCAACATATGTAAAACCTTAAATGTAATATACCATATTAACAGAAAGAAAGATAAAACCATATGATTATATAAAAATTGATGCAGATAAAGCATTTGATAAGATACATCTTTTCATGATCAAGACTCAGCAAAATCAGAATAGAAGGACCATTTCTCAACACAATAAAAGCTATCTATGAAAAACCTATAGCTAACATCATCCTGAATGGGGAAAAGCTGAAAACCTTTCAGCTAAAAAGTGGTACAAGGATACCTACTTTCTCCAATCCTCTTCAATAAAGTACTGGAAGTCCTTGCCAATGCAATCAGAAAAGGGAATAAAATAAAAGGCATTCAAATAGGAAAAGAAGAGGTGAAACTATCTCTATTTTCAGATGACATGATTGTATACATAAAAGACCCAACAATATTGTTGAAAAAAATTCATGGAAGTAATAAACGAATACAGTAAAGTTGTAGGATACAAAATCGACATACAGAAATCTATAGCATTTCTATATATGAACAGCAGGCAGACTGAGCTAGAACTGAAAAAAGTAATTCCATTTACAATAGCCACAAAATGTATAATATACCTAGGAATACATCTAACCAAAGAAGTTAAAGACCTTTACAAGGAAAACTATGAGAAACTAAAAAAAGAAATTGAAAATGACACAAGCAAGTGGGAGGACAGTCCATGTTCCTGGATTGGAAGAATTAATATAATCAAACTAATAATTCTACCCAAATTAATCTACATATTTAATGCAATTCCAATCAAAGTGCCAGAGACATTCCTCACAGATTTAGAAAAGACAACCATACAGTTTGTCTGGAATCATAAATGACCTTGTATTGTCAAAGTAATCCTGCCCCAAAAGAGTAGAGTGAGTGGCATCTCACTCCCTGACCCAAAAATATACTACAAAACTGTGATAACAAAACAGCATGATATTGGCAGAGAAACAGATAGGTGGACCAATGGAACAGAATAGAGACCCCAGAAATTAACTGCCAAACATACAGTCAACTGATTTTTGATAAAAAGCACCAGTCAGTCCAGTGGGAAAAGGAAAACCTCTTTAGCAAGTGGTGCTGGAAAAAACTGGATATCCACCTGCAGAAAGATGAATCTAAACCCCCACCTCTCACCATTGACAAAAATCAACTCAAAGTGGATCAAAGATCTAAACCTAAGACCTCAAACTGTAAAATTACTGCTGGAAAACACTAAGGAAAGTCTCAGAGACATTGGGGTAGGCAAGATTTCTTAAATAAGACTCCCAAAGCACAGTCAATAATCCCCAAAATAGGTGAGATTACATCAGATTAAGAAGTTTCTGCATTGTCATAAAAGTATTAAAAATTGTGATGGGCACTAGAGACAAAGTGGAAAGAGCGTGAGAGGGGAAGAGCATAGGAAATTTGGTGGGGGGGAATGGAGAGGTAAGACACTTGAGGGACACAGATAAGGTTATATTCTGTTGATATATATTCTCAACTGGGCTGGACTGAGATGTATATCATGCTGGGTAAAGTCTCTTCACAATCTAAATGATGTATAGTGATTTGATGTATGAATAATAACAAAAATACATAAATAAAAAAAGATAAACCCCAAGGGAAAAAAAAGTTTCTGCACCATCAAGGACACAGTAATCAGTGTGAATCAACAGCTCTCAGAATGGGAAAATATTTTTGTAAACTATGCGTCAGATAAGGGATTGATAACCAGAATACTCAGGGAACTCAAGAAGCTGTCCTGAAAAAAGATGATCAATCCTATTAGAAGATGAGAGAAAGAGTTGAAAAAAATCATTCTCTAAGGAAGATATATGAACAGCCAAATGGTATATGAAAAAATGCTCAACATCCTTCATTATAAGAAAGATGCAGATCAAAACCACAATGAGATATCACCTAACCCCAGTCAGAATAATCAAAATAAAAAAAAAAGTAAAAATGATAAGTGCTGGTGGGGGTGTGGTGAAAGGGGAGATATCCTACACTGCTGGTGGGAATGTAAATTGGTCCAGCCACAGTAGAGAACAATATGGAAATTTCTCAAAGATCTACAAATAGAACTACCATATGATCCAACAATTCCACTCCTTGGTATATACCCAAAGGACAGAAGAATCCTTAGTTGGAAAAGTGCTTGCATTTCGACTTTTATTGTGGCATTATTCACAATTGCTAAGACATGGAAACAACCCAAATACCCATGAACAGATGAATAGATTTAAAAGTGTGGCACATATACTCTATGGAATACTACTCAGCCTGAAAAGCAACAAGACCCTGTCTTTTAACAGAAAGTATATGAATATGGAAGATTTACTGCTGAGTGAGGCAAGCCAGGCTATGAATGAGAGACATTATATATCTCCACTTAATATATATCGACTGTCTGTACTCTATAGCTGAAACTGAATGACTAAGGGATATAGAAACATAGAAAATGGTTATAAATACCAGATGCAGCGTGGGAAGAGGGTGGGTGAAATAGGAGAGTCTGAGGAAGGATATTAAGGAGAAAAATAGAGAGGCAAGGCATTTATGGGACAAAGAAATGGGTTAATATCTGTTGAAGATAATGCATATAGTATTCCCAACTGGATTGGTGAGAAATGTATACATGTTGGAATATTCACTTTGTAAGCTAAGTGACACATGTAATTGAATGCATAAAAGAAATTGAAATAAAAAATTAAAAAATTGAAAAAAGATGTAAACACTAAATGTGTATGAATTTTTGTAAATCAATTATTCCTAAACAAAAAAAAAAATTGATAAATAAATAAATAAATAAATAATAAATAAAAACAAAAAAATGATTTTGAAACAAGAAAAGAGAAGACAGGCATTAAAAATTTGGTTTGATGGAACCAGCAGTTAGTGTAATGGCTATGTTGCTGGACTCCCATGTAATCGACTGTGGTTCGAGTCCCAGACCTGGTGGCTAAAACTCACGCTGGGCGTGTGTGCGTGTGTGCCCAAGATCCCGAGAGGAGAATGGAGGAGAAGGGATTGCAGCGTGTCCATCCCCCCTGAGGGGTGATTTCTCACTTTCTATCTCTCTGTCTCTCTCTGTCTTTCTGGCAAGTGCATGCACCCTATAGCAAAAACCTCTCAGAAAAAAAATAAAAAAGCCTTGAAAAGAAATAGTAGAGCAGGAATCAATGAAATAGAAAATCAATACAGGGGCCAGTAGGTGGCATAGTGGTTAAAGTGCTGAACTCCTGTGTAGGTGACTGTGGTTCAAATTTGAAACTTATGCTGGGCTTGTGTGCATGCATGCCCTAAATCCTGAGAGAATGGAGGAGAAGGGATTGTGGGATGGCTATCATGGCCAAGTGAGCAATTTCTCTCTTTCTGTGCCTCTGTCTTTCTCTCTGTCTTTCTAGTGAGGGCATCTACTCTAATGGCAAAGACTCTCTCCGCCCCCCGCCCGAC